CTAAGGTTTTCTTTTAGTGTGCTTTCAGGGTACATTTTCCACCTCTTGAATGAGCTACATTACCTGCTAATTGACTCATACAATTCTGCACATGTGAAAACTGGATGTTTTGGGAGTTATCTCCCCCTATTAAAAAGTCTCACAATTTTTTTTCTTTTTTTATTAGTTCCTTTATGGTTGATCATGACCGAATGTTCTAAAACACGATAATACAAATATTTCACATAGTAAACTTGTTCCAAACGGCTTTATTTAATGTTTCTGCAATGTTATGTACATCATTGCACCATCCATATAGTACGTATGGTGTGCTGATCAGGTAATAACTCAATTTATGTCATGACCAAAACTGTCATTTACCGCAACTTAATATTTCAACTCAAACTTTTTATCATTTATCAATTTTGCTAAAACAACAGCATATATCATTAAATATTTTAAACTATCAACATTATAATTGATTTTTTATTTAATAAAGCATAAAACAATTGATTTTTTTAGTGTTTCGTAAAGAGTTGGACTTGACAGACAAAAATCATGCATGATTAGACCGTTTAATTTATTTGATGTTACATTGTTTTTTATTTTTATTTTTATTGGTGTTTTGGTGTTTTTATTTTAGAATTATTCATTGACATTTTTATATGTATAATAAAGCAATGTCATGACCAAAAATTTGATGTCATGACCGAAAATTTTAGTCATATGAGTCTTTCGTGCAAATAAAATTACATGCTATTAATTATTAGTAAAAAATAAGCCTTGGTGATATAATTTACTTCATTTTATGCCTGTTACTTCCTAAAACGTATTAATATTTGTTTTTTACAACAACAAAAATTGATTTTGTAATTACAAAAATAGCATATTTTTACATCTGGCGATTTATTTGGCCCTCCACAGAATAGAACGTATTCCAAAATTCTACAACTTCTATTATATTAACAGAGTATTAATTTTCTTTTCATTTTCTTTTCATTGGTTAAAAAAAATATTTCTTTTCAATATATAGAAAAATAGAAACTGCATGTTTTTATATCGTTGCGGTCATGACCAAAGCATAAAAATATTGATTTTACTTCTTAAATATAATAAAATCTGTTTTCTTTGACTTGTGACTATCGTTAAAATTAAAGAGCATATGTATTACAAAGCTCATTGAACCATGTTGGGCAAGAGAAAGAAGAAAGAGCAATATTAACTCTTCACTTATGAAAATTGTCTCAAATTTGTGGAATCACCCACATACAAACAGTGCACAGTGCGGCATAAAATCTGCGCAGTCAACATTTTTTTGGAATATTACCCGTCGTTAAGCAATGTTGACTGGTGCTACACTGGAGGGCGTGGTTTCTTTTATTCATGGGTAACGTTGTTTTTAACAAATGTCTCTCGACAAATCAGATTCAACTAATTTACATGAAAGTATAATATTGATTTTTAAGTATATGTTTCTCCACGAATCAGATTCAACCAATTTTCATGGAACTATTGAATTATAACTAGAATAAACCAGTCCATGCAAAAGATACACCAATAAAAATGCAATTATATATATATTTATTTAAACAATGGAAAAACAAGTAAATCAAAGTTAGGCAATAATAAATAAATTGCTAATATTATAATCCGATTTTTTTTTTAAAAATCGGCGGCGGGCGGCTTTTATTTTATATTTTTTATTTTTCAATTTTGCAGATTTTTTATTGACCTAGTCAATCAGTGTAATTTTATCTACAATACCTGAATAAAAGACATAGTAAAGGTTCCATTATCTCTTTTACTTCACATCATCACCAATCTTTTCAACCAATGACCCTGTTTAAAATATATGCATGTATTACAGCAATTACCATCTTTTCAGCTGTCAAAATCATGTTGACATTCACTGGATAAAACGAAAGTAGAATGATAGATGAATACCGATCCCTATCAAGAATTAAAGCTAAGAAAACAGAAATAAAAAAAATCGAGGCGGGGGTTTAAAATCAGGGCGGGCGGGGATGAGAATCTAGGAATATTTTTATTATGGCCTTAATAAGAATTAAAATTTAAATAAAAGATGATCGACCAATCATGACACTCAGAAGTTAGTTGATGGCTAGGTACATGTAATATCTGACTGGTAACCACATATAAATATCTTCCGTCATGAAATATAACAGCTTTCATCATCCACAAACAAACTCTTATTTAAAACCAAAGAATTTCCTCAGTCTTCCTCTAAGTGATTTCTTTTTCTGTAGGGTGGGCATCTGAAAAAAAAAATCAAATTAACATCCAGATATAAGAGAGAGTTAAATTTTTGCTATTTTGAAAAATATTACAAGTAGGTACATGTATAAGAAAAGTACAAACAATAACTGAAATTTACTCCTTAATTATAGTAACAGTAGTTAGATCACAGATTTTTCCCCATCCTTTTTTTAAATAGAGTACATTCAGCTTTTGAGAAAAAAATTGGACATAATCTTTGGTAAAAATCTTGTTTTTTAACCAAAATAGTTGATAAACGTAAATGCATACAATACCATTTCTACTCTTTGTTCACAGTGGTCATTCTTGATCTCTGTTGGCAAAATTTCAGTCTCAACATTCTAAAATGGAAGAATTTATTTTGTAAAGCACTTCTAACAAATATTAAGATGTCATCTTTGCCCATAAGGTTTTCGAATTCACCTCTCTCCTTACAAACCATAGATTTAAATTTGAACTTAATTTAAACTTTTTGAACAATTATAATCTTCCATATAGATTGTGCATAAAAGCATAAATGTTGCTATATTTCAATATGGAAAGAATATTATCATCTCTCATACATGTTACACAATGTTGATAATACCGTATAATCCCTATTTACTGCCCCTGTCCCTATATAAAGCTCTCCCTAGCATTTTTTTTATCATCTGGAAATAAGCCCGCTCCCCCTTACAGTGATTAAGATCATCTTGAATCATTTCAAAAGTCTGCCAACATTTAAAGAAAGTAAAAATGTACCTTGTCTATTATCCAATTTCTCGGTGGATAATGAATCATTTAGCATAATTTGGATGGACTTTCTTCATTTGAAGTAATTAAGTTAAACATTATTTAAGTGGTTCTTTGAATTTTTTTTCAACAGATTTTTTAATGTTAAAATATAACATTAAATATTATAAAGAGAATACCAAAATAAACGCCATATTTTTGCAATTTTCTAAGCATGCAGGCTGCTAAATAGGGCTTATACGGTATGCATAAAACATGTATATTAACACAATTTAATTCTGCAAAGGAAATATTTCAAAATGATTTCTAAAACAAGAGGCCCATGGGCCACATCGCTCACCTGAGTAACTTGGGTGATGCAGTTATTTACCAGATTTCCCCTCTTGCTGTACCTATCGTGCCCCCTACCCCCTTCCCTTTTATGATTTTAAGAATCAGAATTAAACACTACCCAAGGATGCTTCCACATAAATTTCAGCTTTCCTGGCCCAGTGGTTCTTGAGAAGAGGATTTTTAAACATTTGTTCTATATTTCTATGTAAAACTTGATTCTACTGTGGCCCCTGCCTGACTTGGGTCATGATTTTTAGTAATTTAGATCTACACTACCCAAGGATGCTTCCACAGAAGTTTCAGCTTTTCTGGCCTAGTGGTTCTGAACAGAGATTTTTAAAGATTTGTCTAATATATTTCTATGAAGTCTTGGATTCCCTATTGTGGCCCCGCCCTACCCCCGGGGATGGGTTACTTTTTACAATTTAATATCTACACTACCCAAGGATGCTTCCACATAAGTTTCAGCTTTCCTGACCCAGTGGTTCTTGAGAAGAAGATTTTTAAAGATTTGTTCTATATATTTCTATGTAAAACTTGGATTCCCTATTGTGGCCCCGCCCTATCCCTGGGGGTAATGATTTTATCAATCTTATATCTACACTCCCCAAGGATGCTTCCACTTAAGTTTCAGCTTTCCTGGCCCAGTGGTTCTTAAGAAGAAGATTTCTAAAGATTTGTTCTATATATTTCTATGGAAAATTTGGATTCCCTATTGTGGCCCCACGCCCCTACCCCCGGGGGTCATGATTTTTACTCGAATATCTACACTACCCAAGGATGCTTCCACAGCAGTTTCAGCTTTCCTGGCCCAGGTGGCTCCTGATAGAGATTTTCAACATTCTGCTCCATATTTCTATGGAAAAAATTCTGGATTCCCTATTTGTGGCCCTGCCAGTCCCCTTGTACTCATGATCTACATCTTAAGATCAACACTATCCAACATGTCCACGACTTTCAGCCTCCTCTGTGAGTGGTTCTTGAGAATATATTTTGAATCACCCCACCCTATTTTTGTCTTTTATTGATTATCTCCCCTTGCAAGGACCTTCCCATTTAAACAATTCAAACTCCCCTTTACCCAAGGATGCTTTGTACCAAGTTTGGTTACAATTGGCCCATTGGTTCTTGAGAGTAGTTGAAAATGTGAAAAGTTTACAGACGGACAGACAGATGGATGGATGGATGGATGGATGATGGACAAAATGTGATCTAAATTACTTACCTGAGGTGAGCTCTTTAAGCATTACCTGGAGAAGTTTTGAAAGGTATGCCTTTAGAAACAGTTTGGAACTGCTTTTCTTCTAAATTTGGTTTGGTCAGGAAACTCTTCATTAGGTCTTGACAGAAATATTTTAAAAATGAAAAAGAAAATTATAGTCATTTTTAAATTTTGAATTTTTTTTTTTTTAAGATCAAAAGAAGCTATATGTTTAGTACAATATTTTACAAACATAAACACTAGTTACATAATAACCACAATTAAGGCCTTCTTATATAGTAATTTCTAAAAAATTTATGTTGCTAGGCACAAATTTTGATGACGCCACCTACAATTCATTTTTTTCTTTTTGAAATTATGATTTCTTAACAAGTTTGTTTATTTCAATCTTACACAATAGGTAAATATTGAAATTGATTTTTGCACATTTTAACAATGAAAGGGGGTTTACCTTTAGCTCTTTTAGCATCTTCGACATCATTTCCTGTTGTTTTCTGAACTGTGCATCTTCAAAATGCTTCTTAGTCAAAACTATCTGTAAGAAAATTTTTAATAAAATTAATATAACTCAAGGCAAACATTATTTCAATCTTACTCTTAAAGACACCAAAATTATTTTTCACAATTTTAACAACCTTAAGCTCTTTTATCTGCAGCATCATTTTCTGGTTTTCTGAAACAAAATTCTTCTTAGTCTAAAACATCTATAAGATTTTTTTTAATAAAATTAATATAAAATAGGATCATTAAAATTAAAAACATATTCAAAAAATACAAGAATATATAAGATAAGTTAAGAATAAACAATGAAAATTTACCATCAGCTCTTTGTGTATGGCTTGCCTCTTTTCTTCTCTTGCAATTCTTCCTTCAAAATCCATTAATGCCACAACCTGAAAATTAAAATTCATCAAAAACTAATTACACTTTACCTCTGTTAAAATTGTTTATTATCACCATTTTTGCAACCAATAACATTAACATTTGGTGTATTTACCCTAAGCTCTTTTAACATCTCAGACATGATCTTCTTCTGATGGTGTATTTTTATTTTGTCCTGATCTCTCCTAGTCAAAACTGCCTGGATAATATTAATAATAAAATAAAAATCAAATTTTAATATCATTAACATTTAATCATGAAAATTATAGGCTATAAAGAAGAAGGTACAGTTTGGTCTGTATTGTGCCCTAGAAATTTTATTTTCTTAAAAAGTTAATAAAATTGAGAACATAATGCATAACAAGAGGCCCATGGGCCACATCGCTCACCTGAGCACTGTGGCTTGGAAAAGGTAGAAAATTGGTTTATTATTGAAAAGTTTTAATCCAAAAGAAGTCCCATGACCAATCATGGCTTTACTATTCTTGAGAAGATGATTTTTAAAGAATTTTTCTACATATTTCTATGTAAAACTTTCGTCGGCCATTGTGGCCCCGCCCTATCCCTGGGGGTCATGATTTGAATAAATCTACATTACTTAAGGATGCTTCCATATAAATATGACCAATCATGGCTTTGTATTTCTTGAGAAGAAGAATTTTCAAGAATTTTCCTATATATTTCTATGTAAAACTTTGGTCGGCCATTGTGGCCCCGCCCTACCCTCGGGCGTCATGATTTGAACAAACTTGAATCTACACTACCTGGGGATGCTTCCATATAAATATGATGAATTATGGCTTTGCTATTCTTGAGAAGAAGATTTTTAAAGAATTTTCCCATATATTTCTATGTAAAACTTTGGTCGGCCATTTTGGCCCCGCCCTACCCCCAGGGGTCATGATTTGAACAAACTTGAATCTACACTACCTGGGGATGCTTCCATATAAATATGATGAATTATGGCTTTGCTATTCTTGAGAAGAAGATTTTTAAAGATTTTTTTCTATATATTTCTATGTAAAACTTTGGTTGGCCATTGTGGCCCTGCCCTACCCCCGGGGGTCATGATTTGAACAAATTTGAATCTACACTACCTGAGGATAATTCCACATGAGTTTCATCTTTCCTGGCCCAGTGGTTCTTGAGAAGAAGATTTTTTAAAAATGCCAATAATTTTTCACTAATTCATAATTATCTCCCCTTGGAAAAGGGTGTGGCCCTTCATTTGAACAAACTTGAATCCCCTTCACCCAAGGATGCTTTGTGGCAAGTTTGGTTG